TTGTGTATAAATGCAGCTTTTGATTTAGTGGATTTGGGCTGGGATCCAAGAATCTGCATTCCTAACAAGGTGATACAGAGGTCTGTGAATCATTCTTCGCGTAGGGAGGGTGTAACGGAGTGTCCTAGAGTGAATTTTAGCTATAAGATCCTTCTGTAAATCAAATAACAAGCCCTAGTTTATCCGTTTTGTGAGTTTCTATTTTGGTGCATAGCGTATGGGTTTTGTTAATGTGGAACAGACTCTAGTTGTATTTATCTTGGTTGAATTATTACATTCAAGGGGAATAAAGGTAATATAATAAATGGAAAGGCAGAGGATGGGAGTAGGAAGCAAAGAAAGAACTTTGAAATTTGGTTGATTTCTAGAAATTTTAGGGTGAAAATATAACATGCATGGGTTGCCCGATGAAATATCCAGCTCTCTGTAAAATATGTCTATGCCGTTAACAACTTGGTATTCTTTATGTAGCACAGAGGAGACTGCGAGGCCCTCTTCGTGGAACTTTTTTTTTTTCTGTTTCTTAAATAATTTGAAGCCCAATTCAGTGTTTGTTTGTTTGCTTTTTTATCATAGCTGAATTATTATTTTTTTCTTTAAATTGTTAGATAAAATTTTTTTTTTGCCAAAGGGATTCAGTTTGGCTGCTATTGTTCATATATAAAGATGACATGACATACCAACTTCCTTTTAGCTGGTATTCCTTTAGGGGTGATGAACTTTATATTGATCCTTCATATCGTCTTTTGTCTAGACTCCTCACGAGTAATAACTAACCAAGGAGATTAACAAGGACCATGGCCTCTGCCCCACAGGTGTGCTAACCAAATGGCTAATCACAAACAGCTTCCATTAAAGTGACGGGTCTTAAAAGATTGTAAAGCGACAGAATTGGTCTTGCAGCCAGCTTGCTGGTTAAGAGCACTGATCTAGGTTTCCTGGTGGAATCATGAAATGTGAAGCGCAGGTATGACTGGCATAATGTGTCATCTGGTTCATTTTCTTGCAGAGTTCCGGCCAGTGTGCTACGAGGAGCCACAACACTGGTGTTCCGTTGCCTACTATGAACTGAACAACCGAGTCGGGGAGACGTTCCAGGCCTCCTCCCGAAGTGTGCTGATAGATGGATTCACAGACCCTTCAAATAACCGCAACAGATTCTGTCTTGGACTTCTTTCCAACGTAAACAGAAACTCAACAATAGAAAACACCAGGAGACACATAGGAAAAGGTAAAAGCAAATGTGTAATTCCTTTATATATTCTTCTGAGCTAAAATATGGAAATAGAAGCACACCATGTCTGTGCAACCTGTAAGAGACA